CCCTGAGCCTCCCACACACACCCTGAGCCTCCAAACTCACCCTGAGCCTCCCCCACTCAGCCCTGAGCCTCCCACACTCACCCTGAGCCTCCCACACTCACCCTGAGCCTCCCACACTCAGCCCTGGGCGAGTATCACAGCGCGTGGCTATGGTTTGCACACTCCCCCCGCACCCTGTGCTCCCTCTACCCTTCCCCCAAGAAGGCAGGGACCCTCCTGTTTTTCTCCTATTTGTGGAGCCAGTGGCACAAGGAGGCAACTGTAAAGGGAGAGATATGAGCTAAGCTGTGGCTGAAGGAATGATGGGACGACTGACCCAGGGAATGAGTTCTGGGGCTCAGCCAGCTCTGCCTCTATCAGGATTGGGTAACTTGTATGCCTTCTTCCTGTTTCACAGCTAGAGCCCTCTCTTCCCTTGCCCAGCCCAGTTTAGACACTTGGGGTGTCAGGAGACTCAATCACAAGGAAGTGGAAATGGGCTGAGATGGTTGCCAGAATGGCGGAGTGAACCTGAGTGAGGGCTGCTCAGAGGACGTGCTAGGAGTCCGGGGACCTCACACACTGGGGTTCTGTGAGCAGGTCTGGGCTGGTTTTCCCCTCCCCCAGCCACTATCATTTCCATGGGGCCCTAGAGGCCCCTATGGACCCCACAATGTCCCCCAGCTGCCTGCAGACCCAGCCAGGTCATTCCCACCCTCTCCCACTCCAGTGTCCCTGTCCCCCAAGGGACCTGCTCATCCTCACCCTCTGCCTCCCTCCCAGCCCTGTCTGCCCCCCTGGAGAGTGGCCGTGGGGAGGGGGATGTGTCTGGGTCCCCAGGCTGCTCTGACTCCTCCCATGTCCCCCTGAGAAGAGCCCAGGATGTCACCAGAACTTGTGTCATGTGGAGAAGTCATTGGATTGATGAGAACTGAATCCCCATAGGGTTTAGATGGGTGGTCTCTTGGGGATTGGATGGTGCACATGGTCTAGAATTTGGCTGTGGGGAGGGTTGCACAGCTCTGTGCGTTTGCTAAGAACCATTGAGCTACACGCTTAAAACCTGGGAGGTGTGAAGTTGTGATTTTTTCATGATGGAGCCTGAGATCCTGCTCTGCTTCCTCCCAGGGCCCCTGCCCAAACCCTCCCTCAAGGTCCAGCCAGGCCCTGTGGTCCCCCGGGGACGGCCTGTGACCTTCGTGTGCCAGGGCCCAGCTTGGGCTGAGTTCTACCACCTGGAGAAGGAAGGAAGACGCGTCTTCCTTTATCACAAAGGTGTATCTCAAGATGGTCTGTCTGTGACAGAGGCCAGATTCCACATTCCAGTGGTGAGTGATGTGACTGCAGGGAGTTACCGCTGCCTCTATGAACAGGTGGATGAGAGGCCATCTCAGCCCAGTGAGCCCCTGGAGCTGAAGGTGACAGAGGAGGACTTCTCCACTCTGCACTCAGGTGGGTCCCAGGGCCCTGTTCCCAGCCCCGTCTCTGTCCTCAGCTCCCTGTCCTCCTGCCAGAAGCATATTACTCAATTGGGGAAATGAGACACAAACATTAAAAAGATAACCAACTATTAGTGGCAGATAAGAGACTGGTTTCCTGGTTCCTGGTTTATTAAATGAAAAGTAAAGAAGTGATTATTTGGATCTGCAAGTGTTTTTTGAATTTAAAGAAGGATAGAAGGGAGGTTTGCTGCTGCTTTTTGGTGGTAGGTTAAAAGAAGAGAGGGAGAGAGGGAGGGAGGGAGGGAGAATCCTTCCTTGAAAGCTGAGTCTCTTCTCTCTCCACTCTCTTCATCCTGCTGTGACTCAGACATCCATGGGTGGGAGCACATGCCCTGTGATGACCCCCATCCACCAGTCCTGGGGGTGTCCACCCAGTTAATCCTCCCTGCCCAGGGGAGGGGACTGTGGGTGGCACAGTGTCTGGGTGATGTGAGCTCAGAGTCCAGTCCCTGTGACCCTGTGGCTGGGTCAGGGGCTCCCACCCTGTGTGTCCATGGGCCAGGACCAGCTGCTCTGTGCTAATGTAGGGAGGGTGGTGGGATGTTCTGAGGGGTGACCAGCCCCGCAGAGAAGTGGAAGCAGAGAGTGTGCCACCCGGGGTACCCCGTCTCCTTGTGCCCTTTTTGGGGGGCGGGGGGTGTCGGAGCGTTCTCTCTACTGAGAGGTGCAGAGAAAGAGGCCAGGTGAGGGCGCTGTGGGAGCGGAAAGACCAGGTGAGTGGGGCAGACAGAGAGGAAGTTGGGCTCAGTGCTTACCCCACCCCCTTCACAGGAGCTCCTGGAGACCTCTGCTCCCCATTCCAGAGCCTGGGCTAGGGAGGAGGGACTTCTACCTGTGGCGTCCCCTCCTCGAGCTCCCCTGGGCAGTGGGCTTCTGCCTCAGAGGTCACAATCTGGCTGGGTCATGTCCACCTGTCAGTGACCCCTGCCCTCTGCTTCCAGGCCCCGCCTCCCGGGATTACACGGTGGAGAACAGCATCCGCTTCGGCCTGATGGGCCTGGTCTGGCTGATCCTGCTGGCGATTCTGGTGTAAGCTGGGCTCAGCCAGTGCAGGGCCCCACAGGGACCACAGGAATATACACAAGGGAGCCCCCCAGAGAGAGGGGCCCCCAGGCACCCAGCAGGGAGCTCCCAGAGCCCTGCCTGCTGTTGTTCAAGGACAAGAGAACCCTGGCCCACGTGGGTTAGCAGGGTCCACCTTAACCCCTCATCTTCCCAGGACCAGGGAGAGGAGTCATCTTGATTGACAGGCAGGCAGAGAGGGCAGTGCCCCTTTGGAAACCATGGCAGGTGGAATGGAGGCAGGGCTGACATGGCCTAACAACGGACGCCAACCCCGCAGAAATAACAGGATGATTTTAGACTCGGAGGGGAGACACATGAAACTAGGGAGGGTCTGCAACACGACGGTGAGCTGAGGCACAGGAACCAGGGAGGTTCAGGTCTGCTTCTGGGCAAGAACAACTGAGAGAATCCATCAGGTGGCCACAGGGGGAGACAGAGAGCAGGTTTGTAGCAAATATGTACCCCTAGGCCACAGGCTTCAGTGGCGACCATGACTGAGCCTCTTCCCACGTGGGAGTCTGAATCTGCTTGCAATAAAGTTTCCATGCTTTTGCTTCCATCTTGTGGTGCAAGATTTCATTATTCAGGGTCATTAGATTCAATCTGGGGCGGAACAAACCTGGGCTTGCTGTTCAGCGTATCACCATGATCCCCAGCCCGGCCACCTAGGGCCGCTAAGACATGGGAGGGAAGCAAACTGCCCTCCATCAGGTGGGTGGGCCTCCTCACATCGACTGAAGAGAACAGGACTGACCCTGGATGCTGGGGGCAGGCTCCCTGGGGGCTTGAGCTGCTGCAGCAGCTCCCCTGGTCTCCAGCCGCCAGCCCTCCCTGCAGCTTTTGCACTTGCCAGACTCCTGGATTGTGTGAGCCAATCCTGCCCCAGACATCTCTCTGTACATACACGCCTTTTGGTCCTGTGTCTGTGATAGATCTGCACGGATACAATGGGCACTGCATTTCTTATGGGGGATGGGCGTGATGAAATTAATTTAAAATGAAGGAGATGCAATGGCTCACAAGATGGTGAATGGACGAAATGCCACTGGATAGTATAAATTTCCTATTCCCCTTCTGCTGATCTTGTCTGTATTGTTGACACTATTAGAGAAGTTTTCCATCCTCCACTCACCCTCCTTTGCCCGCCTGATGGCCCAGCTCTGCCTGGGGCCTGCCTGGGGCTGCAGCCTCTGCAGCCATCCCTGGGCTGGGAGCTGAGGAGTCTCAGGCCTTTCCCTCCAGGTCCTGACTCTCCTCTGTCTCCTCCTCCTGGGGTGGCCCCTCCCCTGGGAGGTCACAAGGATGCACCTCAGTGTTGTGAAGGGGGAGGCTATGGGACCACCTTCCCTAGGACAGTGTCCCTGTTCTGTGCCCTAAATGGATGCAGGAAGGCCTATCAGAGCCCAGAAGGGAATCCAGCCACCAGCCAAGACCCTTCTGTGCAAACTCAACCTTCCCAGAAGCCCCGCCCACCAACTTGACTCTTTCTTTAGTGCATTTACTTCAATGGACTCAAGGGCTTTCAGTTTAGAAATAGCCAGAGGCAGGGAGGCGGGGGAGTGTGCAGATTGCAGCCCAGGGTTACAGGGCCCAGAGGGGCCTAGAGACATGGGTATGGAGCCTGAGCTGGATGCTGCCTGCCGGGCAGAGCATGAGGTGGGGGGTGGCGGGGGGCAGGCTGAGTCCTTCCAGTGTCCCCCTTCTGCTCTGTGCTCTGCCTGGAATAACATGGAGGTGTCAGAAGAGTTTTATGGTTTTTCCATTTGTAGGTGAGAAACTGAAGCATTTGCATGAGGAAGTGTGTGTTTGGGGAGAGCCAGCCTGTGAGGACCAGATGACAAGCCAGGAAGTTTCCATGTCATATTGTCTAGAAACATTTCTATGTATCTACCATTGTATCCATCTATCTATATAACTAGGTATTTATCTATGTATCCATCTATATATGTAACTATCTATGTATATATGTATCTATCTATGTATCAATGTAACTATGTATCTATCTAATTATCTATGTCTCTGTGTATCCATCTATGTAATTAATTATCAATTCAACTCTATGTGTCTAAGCGTCTATATATCTATGTATGTTAGTATCTGTCTATGTATCGATGTCTCTAAGCGTCTATGTGACTGTCTCGATATCCATCAATGCATCTATGTATCTAGCTATGTCCATATCCCTTTGTGTATCTGTGTTGCTAGATATCTATGTGTCTGAGTATCTACGTGTCATCTATCCATCCATCCTACTGTCGTCTGTGTCTGTCAATGATGAATTACTTCTATGTGGCTTTCATCTGGGCACAGCCTCACCCTGGTGAGGAAACATCTCACTAGCAATGCCTCCCGGAAACCACAGCCTCTCAGCTTCTCCAAATTGGGGAACATGGATCTGGGAGCAGCCACACTCCCTTCCTGACAGACCACGGAAATGAGCCCTGACTTGGCCCCAGCACACTTCCTGACTGGCCGAGCCCTGCCTTGCCTCACCCGGGACAAGGGCAGAGAAGCGGTTGAGAGGCTGGCGCTCATGTCCCCCCATCTCACCACCCTCCTGGGCCTGGGTGAGTCAGAACGCAGGTGGGAGGGCCACAGGGCAGAGGGGCGGAACTGTGGGGGGCACTCAGGCCCCACCTCCACCCAGCCTTGGGAGCCCACTCAGCCTGCTGGTCCTGCTTCCTTTGTGTCACCTGGGCCCCAGCTCCAGGGGAGGGACCTGGCTGTTCTAGACACTGGGAAGGGAACAGGTCAGACACAAACATGGCCAAGGGAGGTACTCTGGTGGGGAGGCCTCCTGGGAACCTGTCTGGAACCTGCTGTAGGGGAGAGAGCTACCCCATGGGAGCCATGTTGACGGGGGGGTTGGAGGCAGTGGGAAATGCAGTCCTTGACCCCGTTTAAGGACATCAGCCTGGCAGTGGACACCGGTCTCACTGGGGCTTCCCTTGCAGGGCTCTGCCTGGGCCAGGTGATCCACACGCAGGAGGGTGAGTCACTCCTGCTCCACCCCTCATCCCCACCTCCACCCCAAG